CAGTAATGAGGCACTAGATGGATTACTTTTGAGGAGGCCTCTGGAACAAAACGAACATAATGCTTCTGGAATCTTTGAAATCTTCAATGAAATTAGAAGGCTCCAAGTTCGTTGAATCTTATCTTTCCACATTCAAATATGTCTACTTTTGTTTGGCAAAATTAGCACTCCGCTAGTTCGCATTTGAACAAGCCTGGTAAAAAAAATCGCTCTTCATTGACCTCTTTGTCCATAGGGCATCACAGAACATACAGCTCATGGATCGAGACTATCCAACTTAAGTAGGCGATAACTACATATGCTTCGACTTGATGTTTTGCTAACTGCTGTTATATCGCTGCAGTACGTGTTCCGAAAGTCTCACAAGGTTGGCGATTCATGGACAAACTTCAGTCGCTGACGGGACTCGAGCCCGCACTTGTGTGAGACTGAAGTCTTGGTCCATAAATCGCCAAACTTGTGTTAAAGAGCAAGGGCCCGGAAAGCACAAATGCGGGCTCGGGTCCCCTACTAGACTGAAGTTTTGCCCATAAATCGCCAAACTTGTAATACATATGCTTTATTTGTTCTTTTATAACTCCAGGAAAATAGAAGCCTTACTTCCGGCACTGAATTACTGTCTTAACTACCCCTCTACGATTACAATGGGTCATCAAAAAGCCAGCACAAAACCAACCAGGAGGTCAAATCCTGGAAAGAATAATCCAATGCCGACCTAGAATGGCCCTTGTAAGGCTCGTGAATGCCTGCTTTTTTATGATTATGCTAAAAATTCAGAATGTGTGCTGCTCTGTTTGATTCACAGCAATATTTGAAGCTTCTATTTTTGTTTACTTTTTCCAACGGTACGCATTCATTTTTTCAATCCCCCTTACTCCCTTCTGAATCACATCCCGTCAGACCGAATAGGCACCAAAAGAGACTCTGGCTTCTTCCAAAGCTATTCATTTCAGACTGATTGATGGCTGTTTTTGCTTGGAAACTTTAAGATCTTTGAATGTATCTAGCAATTTCCTATCATTACATGAATCCAACATTTTTCTTTGTCCATGGCTAGTGCCGGTAGCGCTTCCCTTTACAAATCTTTCTACCTTCCTATTGCGTTGACCCGCTTACTAATTATTCCATCTCTGGTTAGTTCGCAGTCAATTTGGCTGCCGTATGGGCACCCTTGGAGGATTATTTTCAGACTAATCTTAAACTTCTCAAGCCAAACTTAAAAAGTAGCAGCGGATATTGATCATCGTGGCTGGATTCTATGCAGAAAGGCTAGGATCCCTGTAAATATTCCTCTCTCACCCATAATCTTGCAGGTAGTCAGGATGAGACAACTACTGACCCCCATCAAAAGAAATCTCTCAACAGGTACTGCAGTTGAATCTATCGCCGCACTGGAAAGAGAACTCGTCTGATAGCCTAGCCGTTAGTTGCAACCCCAACTACAGAAAACCGAGCCTCGTTATCACTACTCTCAGTGGTAGTTTGTCTTGATTATCTCGGATTTGGAATTAAACGCATACGTAAACTGGTTCCTTGAGGAGGGGGATTCGTCCTATGCGAACTTTACAACGGTCCCCGTCAATCTTTGACTTTCAAAGAACGATTAATGTAGGGGAAACGTTGAAGACTCCTTTTCTTATTGGCTCATCAAAATGAACATCAAACGAAGAAACATCCGGATCTGAGAAATTGTCGAAAAAAATCTCTTCTGTTTGAAGAATCGAATGGTCTGGCCCCATTACAGAGAGTTTAGAAGACATGAACTTTTTCCATGACGTTTTACCTGAATTTGAAAGAAAATTTTCTGATTTCCACAGAGGATTTATGAAAACGACCATTTTTAATATCATTTTGGGGATGAATGCAATTGTCATTTTTTCCAATGACAACAACATTCTTACAAATATCGCACTCTGAGCCTGAAGGGACCATTAGCTTTCTCGCAAGTGAAGTTTCCTGAAGATCAAGCTACGCTTCACACCTCTCACCACCCTCCTCCAAGATGGCCACGTCCTAACACTTCAAGGTATAGTGGTAACTTCTTTACTCGAGACCTCCACTTCCCCCAATCAAGTCAGACCTGTTCCCATACGACTACCTTGTCGAGTTTTTTCTTTCTGTTTCTCTATAAATCTTAAAGAAACGTTCTCATTTATGAAGATTCATCCCTGCTAGACTTCCTTGACAACAACATGCATAGATTCCGTTAAGTTCTGGTTTTGAGGGTAACTCTCTGAGATTGTTCTCAAGAGGTAGAAGAGTCGATATATGGCATAATCGCCGCGAAAACAGCTCCTAGTATGTCTTGGGAAGCCGGAATGGTTTTTGGTCTGTGGGGATGCAGTTCCCAAATGGATCTAGTGTATACTTGTTCGAGAAAACACACAGGATACACTCTAAGCTGACCTACAAAGTCATCTCTCCGGGTTATGTGGTAATGTGACTCTCTTCGAGTAAGTAGCATACCAGAAATGGGCGAATGACATTTCGAGTTCACGAAAAAGCCATCACATCAGTTGCTGTCCCAGTTTAAACTTTGAATGAAACATTCTTGGGGTTTTTTTCGGCTATAAACCCATGTTTCTGACTAATTACAAGTTGGACGGGCTCCCGACATTTGTGAATGTGTTGAAGGCACTTCCATACAGAATTTTCCACCTAGTAGGCACTTTTACAAAGAAAAATCCGAAAAATGATGATTATTATAGTGTAGCCGAATGCCTAATAGTTAGATGAGAATTCCATTACAGTACCATTATTGAATTGAAAATTGTACTTATCGAAAAGCGAGGCCCCTACAGCAGAAAAAGAGACTGAATGAAGGGAAAAGAGAATTTTGTTGAAAAATTATTCTATCTTTTAGGAATTTCATGCGAAAATCTTCTGTGAGTAAGAAATTTACCTTTTCTTCTGATAAAACGTCCTCTGAAGTGTTACCCAGTGTTATTCTTTAATTGGCTGCTGGTATGTTGCAAAGCTATGGGTAGAGCAGGAAGTTGATGTTGACAGTAGTTGCCAGCCGTCACTGTTATGGACGGAACGTTGGAACGAAATGTTTATGATGAGCCCCACTGCTGCCCAATATAAAAGACACCTTGAAAATGTGCTCTCACCAGTCCTATCACTACCAAATAAGGCAAGTTCATCTACATTCACTTTACGCTTTCAAAGCGATTATTTACTATTTGCTATTCGCCATCTTACGATTTGCAGTAATGTTACGAAGTGTTTTGTACAATCCGAAACAACTCGCCCACC